GAATTGCCCTTGGAGTTGTTTCATGTGGAGTGAGACACATAAATGACGACATTTTTCTCCTTACTGCAGAGGTATTAACTATTCTTTTGTATATATAAATGGATATACAAGGACTATAGGTAGTCCTCACTTACCAACTGCCATGTTTACTGATCTTTTGAAGTTACGATGGTTGGAAAAAAAAAGCTTTGCAACCAATGCTTGCATTTACAGCTGTCGCAGCGTCCCATGGTCATGTGATCGCCATTTGGGTGCTTCACAACCAATGAGTATTTACAACCATTGTCGCATCCCATGGTCATGTGATCGCCATTTGTGAGCTTCACAACTGGTTTCCGACAAGCAGAATTAATGGAGAATGCAAAAGCGAAATTGCAAATTGTGGTCATGTGATGTCTCGTTTAATAACCATGATATTTCTTTAACAACAGAAGCGAAAGTGATGTCATAAGTCCAGTGCTGTCATATGATTTTTCACTTAGCGACCATGGCACTTAGCAATACAGTTGCCGGTCCCAATTGTGGTTGGTAAGCAAGGACTACCTGTAATCTCATCATTTATCCTTGAATAGATATGCCTTTCAATAACCATCAGGCTTCTATTGCTTTTATTTTGCCCAGTTGAAAGCAATTGTTAAATGGCAATAATATAATGAGGGCTTAGCCTGTCATGTCTGTCTGTTCCAGATTAGTTATTGTGTGGACACCACTCTGATAAAGTAGAAGGATAATGTAGAAAGTGTCTTCTATATAAGAACTCTAATGACTACTGTTCTCTATGATTTTACTATCTAGAACATGTTATAACCACATTTATTCTCATCCCTGTGATCAAGACATACTCATTGGAAGGGAAACAAAAATAAAAACTCTTCATAGTGTGAACCAGTTTATGAAAGCCAAATCTGTGCCTTTTAGGAGGAGCAAGCATTCTGTTTTGATCCTTAATTACTGATGGTTTCATAGCTTTTTGTTCTACTCCTTCCGATTTCATGGATCCTGTTTCATTTGCCACAACTTTCAGTTCTATTACTGACTGTATGCAAAGAATGTTTATAAAATGCTGGGTTGATATGGTGATATGTGTAACTGCACCAAGCTTTTTTGGACTCAGAAGATGCTCATCAATAATGTAGTGGATAGGGACTTGTGAATGGACTAATACATGTATCAAACTTGACACGGTATTACTTTGAATTTAGGAATACCATTCCCCTTGCCCCTGGGCTTATCTATAATGAGTTTTGTTTTCACTTTAGAACTGAGATCAAGTTTATAACCCACATCAAGTGAATGGACTTGCATTTATACAACAATAATTTTTCTTCCATTCTTCCCAGTACTGTCCTTTCTTTCCCCCAAATCTGATTCAGAGGATTATCAGGCACACCAAAGCAGATTTGGTAGATATATAGGGGGAGAATTGGAGCAGAATCTGCTGGTAATACCTGTTCTGTTGATGGATAGATACAGTTGGATACCACACCAAATAATCCAGATTTCAACATTCAAAGAAAAATTTAGATACATAGAATTCTGGAAGCATCTCCAGTTACAGGGCAGCAGCTATTTCAAGATAACACAACCCCTCTCCTTATTTATAACCCAAATTTCAAAAGTGCTGCAACAAATATATTAGTGTTTTATAGAGAGCCTGATAACTACTGACAGCTGTTCATATCTTAGTAGTTTTGCTTTCTTAAACTAACAGCATTCTAAATTGCTTTGATTTTTAAAAAATAGAAGTTTATCTGTAAAATACAAACAGACTTTCAGGAGAACATTAGCCTGTCTGTAGACCTGAATGACTTGTACTGACATTTTCATCCTTAAGAAAACCTAAGAGAGTGAATCATAAATACTTCTCAAATAGGCAATGATCCATTGCAAAGGAAATTGGTTAATTTTATCCTTCATGCTAAAATATTTCCCTATAATTTCAATCGGATATGGCCATCTTTATCCTGTGTCCTCAGTGGCCATGGTTAATTTAAAGCAGTGCCTTTTAAATTCTAGATGTGGTTCGTTTTGTTTGGTGAAGCAGTTCATGTATAATTTGTAAAATGCTTTGGAAACTTACTACATGGAGTATGAGCTGGACAGTGATGTTTCTCAAATGTCAGGCTGGAGAGGAAGAGAGCCAAATAAGTTTTTTTTTTTTAATAGGCAATTTTTGCAGAAAATGTACTAGAAAAATGAGTTACTGTACTTTGAAATAACTCTTTTGAGACAGAAACTATCATGTGTGCTAGTTTTGCTGAGGTATTAGCTAAGTATAACTGCTATTAACACTTTAATTCTCTATAAACGTTTTGAGAAAATCCAAATAAATTCAAAGGGGGTTATAGAGTACACTTGAACAGGATTGCACTGTGAGTGTAATTAACACCAAGTGGGATTCACAACTGTAAGAATATGCAGGATACTGCCTTACTAGCTCACTTCAAGAATGAATAAAGCAGGTAAGATTTGTGTGCCAGGAGATACAGGACAAGTGTATCATCTCCAGAGGCTCTCCTTCATATTTATATAGCTTTTTACATATCAGGAATGTACGAGAGCCATCCTTGTACACATGGCCTTGTGTGATGCAAAACTCTATACAATCTAGTTTGTGCAATATGGATACAAAATTGTGCAAATTAGAAATGTGTACATTTGGACAAGGCACATAAAAAAACAAGACTTTCAGCTGAATAATAATGTTCATTTACAATAATATGGTATAAAATGCAGTCCAAGTGAAACATGTTTCCTAGTAGAAAATGCCACTCCCTGCTAATACCTACTTTGATTTCTTTCTGGGCTCTTCCTTGCCAGTGGTTCTTCCTCTCTCTTATTGATTAATACCACAATTCACAATAATATCATATAGATTTTTGCCTTTAAAATAAGTTTGAAAAGAGGTTCTTACTTTTGCTTGTCCCTACTTTTAACTAAGACATGTGAAGACATTAACTTCTTGCACTGGTTTGTCAGTGGAGGAATCTGTGGGGATATTTGAACAGGGATTATGGAAAATCTGAACACAAATCTAAGGTTTATATTCAGTATGTAATTATAGGTCTTGTAAATTGTTAAAGTTCTCCAGTTAAAGCTGATAAAAGAACGAGTTTAGTCATTGTAAGCAATGAGTCTTGTTTTCAGGTGCTCTCATTTTCATGCCAAGCAAAGGAGAGTTTGGGGTGATACACCAAGGTTCTGAAGGCTATAATGCCATAATTATAGGCAGATTCACTGTGATGACAAGCATCCTTCTTCTGTGCTTATAATATTTGAGCACTTTAAGCTAATGAAATATTATTGTAACTCTACATGCAATGATTAAGTCATTCTACCAATAATCCTAGGACCAGTTCATTATAGAAAAAAATAATCATTTATTGATTACAATTATTTTTATATCTCTGCATTCTAGAACAACCTCTGGTGATTTTCAGGACCATAAAACCATAAAGCACAGTAATCAAAATACAATTTAAAATATGAAATTAACTGCAACATTCCCCATCTGGCACTCAGTCTCAGTGGTGACCATCATATGGTGGCGAGACATGATTTCCCCCAACCCCTCGTATTTTATTGTTCTTGCTTTTTTAAAGTGTAAGCTGCCCAGAGTCGTTTGGAGTTGGATGGCCATAAAATAAAATGTCCCAGATGCCCTCTCTAATGCCATTTTGCTAAAGGAGAACAAAGGGTACAATAAAGAAACATTGCCTCTGCCCTCTCCCCAAACTGCACAAATAGGGGGACGTTTTTCATCTATTTATTTATTATTATTGAGAAGAAGAAAGAAAAAAAAACATAGAAAGTACTTCAACAAAGAAGTGAAAGAAATACAACAAAGAAAAAAACCGTTAATATGTCATTATAACAGTAAACAATTATAATTCTATATATACTTATCTAATGCAAATATTATTCTAGTACATATATATTTCTAATATATTTATATGACTATCATGTTTTTTTTTAACTTACATGTATTTTGCATAAATGAAATAATGAGTATTTCATTATATTTGTCCATACAAAGTCTATGTCTATAGGCAATCCGCTTGTAAGTAGCAAGTGCAATCAGGTCACAAATAAGGGGACCTTGAACATTCTTTCCTGGGTTGATTGTTTGGGCTGTATCAGTTCTACTTGGATGAGGTGGTCTTGAGGTTATCTGGGAACCAAGCCATGTAGACTATAGGAAAAACCAGTAGTTTGAAAGTGGACCCAAAAGCATATTGGTGGCCAGTGCCAGCGGTTGCAGAACTGGTGTCAATATGGCAGTAGTGGCTCTCACCTACCTATATAATGGAAAAGCCAAGTTCATCACTCTGGTATAATATCCATGAAAATCTAGCATATAATTTAAAGA